CGGGGTTTCTAATGGAGTGCGATTGGTTGGATTCACTTGAAGTTACAACGGATTCACTTGCAGTTGAAAAGGTATAGTTCCACCCAGCTCGTCGCTGATGACGATATTTGGCGATCGACTTGTCCAGTGTCATCACTGTTGTAGGAAGAACAACCGCGATTACGCAATTATCGCTGACCCGTTTTCACAGCTACGGTAGTGTGATAGACCCCGTCGATCAATTTACTTGCACTGCCATTCCTGCAGCCTCAAAGACAGCGGAGGCTTTGTGACCACGGTATCAAAACAAAATGAAAAAACACCCCCATGTCCCCATGTTTTTACAGAATAAACTCAAACTTACGAAGAATTGATAGTGACAAGCTCCCAAATCAGCCTTTGTCTTAGCTTGGCTCTCAGTTTGAAATCCATAAACGCGTAATTTAAATCAATTGTATGTTATCGTAATCGAGCCGAAAAGCAATAGTTCTTCAACGTAAACAGCGGAATTTGATACGGTAACCGCTGTTCTTCTATGATTACGATCGATTTTGGTGCTTTTACATTCATCTTCTTTTTGACCCTTGGGTTGGTTTGAAACGAGTAGATTTAAATACTGGGTGGAACTTCGTTGGCTGAGTGCGACATAACTTTAGTAGAAGAATTCACATAAACGGGACATGCGTTACGATGCACACACTTGGTTTGGGTTTGTTTAAACGTGGGAACATATCGGACACTGCAACTTCTCGTGGGTGCGACGTAACAGAAGATGTACATTAGTTCTCATCACGATTTATTATACCTACAATTCATAAAAATATATTCCTACTACCGTTCCTACTAATACTACTATCACCATTAATAATAGTAATAATATTATTTATCACTTCAAATATTGGTTTATTTTTCGACTTTTTTTAGTCACCTACATTCATCTGTCAGTGGTATACATTTACAAATTTGGACGTGGTTCTTTTATTCAACTATGAAAATCCTTTTCTGTCGCCAATCCTTTTTTATGTAAAGGCATATAATCATTTACCCAAAAATATACGCAACTGACCTATTTTGATAACATAAAATTTATTATCCCCCCACATGTGGTCTCACGGAAGTTATTGTTCATAAAACTGATGTCGTAGTAGATAAATCTATTCCTTCCGGCCAATGTTTCCAGGCGTTTATCAATCACCATGAGCCCAGTGACGTCAGGGAAAACCTAACCCGCATGAATTTGCTTTTGGTTACCACACCGTTTGTAAAAATGGTACTCAAACGGTGACTGAGGTGTTTAATTGAGTAAACACCCCGTCCGACTACACTTGTTCCCCTCGTCCTCACTACCATCCCATTTGATCCGGTCTGTCTCTCGCAGGCAAATGAAACAGAACGCGGGATTTGTGTGTAGGTGATATATTGCACTTATTGCTTGGTTGTTTCACAATTATTTATGATCAGTAGATATGCACGGAATGTGTATTATGGTTATTTGCAAACGCTTTGGCGAAAAATGGTTGTGGGTTGTGGCGCTAAAACTAGGGGGTCCAATAAAAAGTTCAACCAAACGCGTAATGGGGTCGGGGGGAGAGGGTAAACTGACTGAATGGTTGGGGTGAACAGCGGGGAAAAAGATCGAAATAAAAGTCGAAAAATAATGATATGTGAAGGCTATTTCCTCAGCAATAAGGACTGTCGATTGATTCCATCGATCACAAACCGTACGTCTGGGGATACAGGTACAAATTCACACTCTCAAACGCAATGCTATCGTTGTTCACCTGTCTGTATCAATCAACAGGTGGATGTGAGAAACTTTTTTTCCAAACATTCCAGATAGGCTCGTAATGAGTATCATCTAATCAGTGACCACTATCATCAGTATAGTGTTCGTGCAAAAACTTGGTGGTGAGCGTGGGTTGGGGTAGAGAAAAATGCAAAAGGACTACTATTCATTGCACTGGACAAGAAGGAGGCAGTTGGATGGTGGGTTTGAGGTGCTAACATTGGCAAAATGTGCATTGCGGTGGGACGGTGTCAGTCTGACTAGATTGAAAGCTGTTCAAAAGTGCTCGTGTTAAGTCGTTCGGCGCGTAGATACGGGGGCGGGGGAGGGGATCCCGAACAGTATCGCGCGTACATGATAATTGTCATAAAATTCCGGAAAAGAAATTTACGGAGAAAATCTGTTCGTTATTTTTTCGGTACTTTTTCATAGATGAAAATTGTTTCAATTGTCAATGCTCATAATAGGAAGTGTCTGAATGTATATGTTTTCTGTTGAGTAAATGCATCTTTAAGCCACAGTTCTGAGCTGGTTATATCAGCTCCTGTCGAGGGACAATCGGCGGGTTTTAGCCCTGTTATATATGTGTTCTACTCAAGCTCCAGAATCTTGCGGTAAACAAATTCTTGTGTACACGCTACACAAAGAGAGGAACATTCGAGGTTGGAGGAAATCCGCGTTTGTTTAACACACGTATGAGAGAGAGAGAGGGATGGGGGGGGGG